GGCAGTTTGCTGACCCCTGCACAGGGTGAGTGGCAAGGAGCCAGCCACATGCCTCCCCATTGAACCCCAGGACAGGGCAGTCCAGGCCCTGGCACAGGAGGGGGGTGCTGGGTCCTAACTAGAACTTTTCAAAGGACACCTGACTGAGGCCTGTCACTGGGACAGAAATGGAGCTAGCACCTCACCCCTACCAGCCAACCTTCCAGAGGCCTTCAAAGGCCGCCTATCTCCCAAGTCTGTCTCACCCGGGCAGGCTGAAGGTCATGCCCCCCAAGGTGTGGTGTTCACAGAAGCCATCTGCCCGGTGACATAGGGGTGCCCAGTATAGGCACCCCGAACCCTTTGGCAAGTTCGTCCTCGCTACTCCAAGATGGCTTTGTGTCTCCTCCTTGCTCCCCCGGCCCCCAGCACCCCTGCTCTGGCTGGACCCCCTACAAGGAGGCCTGTGGGTCGTTTCCTGGGTCCTTGCAAGTCTGACCAAAGGCCGGAGGGACTACTGTGTCCTATGGGCTTGTGATCAGAATCAACTCCATGGCAAGGAGGGTTTGCCATTTGGAAAGGGTCTGTCTGCAGGCTGAGCCTGCTCAGCACCCGGGCTGCCCCGCTCCTGCCTTTCACCTGCTGCTGCTGCTGCTGCTGCTGCTGTCTGTCTGTCTGTCTGCCAGAGCTGTGGACTGCTCTGCTTACCCTTTTCTCCCTCCAGAAGCTTCTCCCTGTGTCTGATTACCGGTGAGACCCTCGGGGTCTTCAGGGTTCTCACCCACTGCCATTAAGTCAATGCCGACTCCCAGCGCCCCTGTGGGTCCGCTCACCATGGAGTCAGTGTGACTCACGGGGCCCCTGTGGGTCTCTGAACAAGAAGAGTAGAAAGCCCAGTCTTTATCCTGAGGAGCTGCTGGTGGTTTTGAACTACCAACCATGCGGATTATAGGCCGAAGTGTAACCACAAGTAGGGAAGATACATTTGTAGTTTTGTAGTTATTATTCTACATAAAAGTTATACCTGTTTACTCTCCCACCAGCTTCCTTCCCCTCTGTTTGGCCATATGCATTTTTTAAAACAAGTGAAAAATATTTGACCATTGCTTGACCCTATTCAAGTGTAGTTTGATTTCTGTCTATCTCAGCACGAGAGTATAAACAATGCTCCACAGGTTTAAGAGCCACTCTTTGTATTTCCTTCCATTAGATTTCTTCCAGGCCGCTGCTTATCTTCTTTGATTTACAAGGGAAATCGACTCTTTGTTTGGAAATGAATTATAAGCATATTGTTTAAGCTAGTTTGTTGTTTGTGTTTTGACTACCATGGTGTGTTTTTCCAAATGTATTCCTTTTTAGTGCAAGTGAACTCATCCATCTTCTCTTGGTGGGTTGGTAACTGAGAAGGCAACCCAGAGGCTGTGTCGGCCTCCTGTAGCTACACCAACGAACGAGGAGGATCCATCCCCTCGCCAGCTCAGCTGACTGCCAGAAGCCGGCCCACACATGCCTCCACCTCCACCCTGCTTGTCCCGATTTGGGCACCAACCATTCCCTTCACAGCGTTCGACCTCTGAAAGGGTTTAATAACCCCCTCGTGACCGCACAGAGCCCCCAGACAGTGGTCGCAGTTAACAGGTCACCACAGGGCAGGTTCAGCAGACATTAGGGGTACACCTTTTCTCGGCCAGCAGCCAAACCTCTCTCTCTGGTCCTCAGCCTCTAGGGCACCTGGTCCCTTGGCCTCTGCCTCTGTCAGTAAGAAAAGCCTGCTGTGGGATACACAAAGATTACACACACACACCCGCCTCGGTTGTCTCCATTGTGTAGTCAGAGCGATCAGACGACTGTCTGTCCACTCACCGGAGGTGGGGCTCACACACTGCTGACAAGTTTCCCTGTGATTGTTTCCCGGGAGAGCCAGAGAAGAAATCAAGCCCACTCAAGGGCTGCCATCCTGAATTTAGGATCCGCCCATCTTGTCACTTGTGTACACCTAGTCCCTCCTCTTCCTATTGCGTATTCACCCCTAGATCGTCCCCCTCCCATTGCTGCATTGCCTATGGTACAACTCCTTCCTGTGACATATGTGGTTACCTGTAATCAGGGGGGCTTGTGCGCCCCCTAAGTATATATAAACCTTGGTTAGAAATACATTCTCTCTCCTCTTCTCGTCTCCCACCTCCACGTGGACCACCAAGAGTGGCTGAGGTGAGCATGCTACCATGAAATGTGTCTGACTCCTTTATTTTATCTTCCCTTCTATCCACTGTGACTTTTAGGATCTCTGTATATGATCGCTGCTGTACAATTGCTCCTACGGACCCCCACCCATGGTTGTTAGAGGCTGGATTACTCTGACAGCCTGCCTGCGGCTCCGCCTCACTGTCTCCCAGTCTCAGCGCTTGGGCCCAGCCCCTCTGCTCCGCCTTGGCCTGGATTCTTTGTTTTGCTCCCGTGTTAGTTCAAGTTGACTAGAGAAACAAATCCAGGGAGACTCACGTGTGTAGGAGAGAATTTTATATCAAAGAGCAATTATACATTAAGAAAACATCCCAGCCCAGTCCAGATTGAGTACATAAGTCCGATATTACCCCATATGTCAATATTAGTTCATAAATTCCAGATCAAGTCCATATGTCCAATATTAACCCATATGTCCAGTACCTGGCTGTAAATTCCTCTTCAGACTCACGCAACACACACCGAATGGCGCCGAATGCAGGAAGATTACAGGCCAGTGGGTGGAAACTCTTGTGGATCCAGTGGCGGTGGAAGCATCTCAGCGCTGGTGTGGGTCTCCATGTGGCTCCTCCTGCTCCAGGGCTCTGGCTCCATCAGTGTAGCTTCATGTGGCTTGTCAACAAGAATGTGTTAGGGAGTGTCTCTGTCTGACCTCCAGCGAGCTATTTATCTCTGTAGCGCCTCCAAATGAGGTCGTCAAGCTGTGACCTGATTGACAGGTGAAGCTCCACCCCTTCCCTCTTCATAGTTTCAAGTTGACACCAGATGATGTCACTGCCCCAGGGTGTCTTTGCTGTTCCCCTAGAGCCGTGGTTCTCAAATGACAGTGATGAAAATAATGTCATCATTGGGGGGAGGTCACCACAACTTGAGAGCCTGTCTTAAAGGGTCGTGGCATGAGGAAGGTTGAGACCGCTGCTCTAATGCCTCTGGTTTGGGCCTCCGTCCTTTGCGG